CATAAGGTTATTGGAGAGCACGATGGATGATTCTTGGACATAGATGTGTCCCATTGGAGAAATCACATCCAGGGGGAAGGGGGAAGACCAGGGTCAAGGGGGAAATGTATGATGTACTTTAGTATCGGCTGCATCCAGCTTACACCAACATGGCCACTCCTAATAAATCAATTTACTTTTCTCTGAGATGCGGTTAGAGACTTGATTTGAATGAGGGTGGATTTGTTGGAGCCTTGACAGCTAAATTATGCCAGTTCAATTTTTGACATACATTTTAGCATTTGGATTCATAATTAAATTTACCCCTTTACTTTCCATCCCGTAAACTGAAACTATTTTTATTCTTCTCTATTACATCCTTCATTTTTCTCTTAGTTTCACAGACATACAGTGTATCTCTTTTTCTTTCATTTGATAATTCATGTTCTTTATCATTTACTCATTTTCAAGTCACAATTTCCACAATGCGAGATGATCACCACATTGGCCCAGAGATACTGACCTCTGCCACCAATTGAGGTTTTCACAGAGTGATATTTAATCAGATAGAGAAGATGTAAAGGAGGGTACCAGCTTCAACTGTATCTGTAACACATCAGCCATTCCTTGCTAATGATAAAAACAATATTAGTAATTTGGACACATTTTGATCAGCATGTTTGATCAGCATATACAACTGGAAAGTCTCAATCATGATTACACTGAGATTTCTAATCTAGAGACTGCCTTGTAAGTCATTATATGAAGCGTACTGATAGGTACTTAGGTCACAGTCATAACTAGGTTTATATCATGCCAAATTGTAAGCTGTGTGCTTATACTGCCATATTTGGTAGGATAATGAGTATGCTTCTTTCATGTATCAGTTTATCTACCTGCATACTGTACTTATGTTTTCTTTTTAAAAAAAGAAAGCAAACCCTTCCCCCCAATTAAAGCAATACCCTATCAATTGAAGATCATGCACTTTTTAAAACAACATCTCTTGAATGGTCATATTTATTAGTACATATAAGAATTATGTACCAGTACTCCTTGAGTTACAGCAGCAATTGGAACAGGATTGCCATCGCTAAGTGATGCCTATGTAAAGCATGACATCGTGTAACTGCACCCATTCGCAGTGCCAACCCTGGCAGTCACAGTTAATCCTAGACACAGAACATTAAGAGGCAGGGATCCCAGGCAAGGGGTGTGGGGATGCTAATGTGTGTGTGTTTACATGCCACAAGCAGGTGGCATGAAATGCAGATGGTTGACTGGAAGGGTACTACAGAGAACCAGTTCCCTGGAATCTTGTAGTCTGTAGTGGAGTCCTTGGGACATAAAGTGTTTGTGTGTGTGTGTGTGTGTGTGTGTGTGTGTGTGTGTGATTTACCGAAGCATGATGGCTTTCATGATGGCTTTCCTATTGATTTTGCTTGAGGGAAGTCGACAAAGATTGCAAGGTGGCATTCACGTGACAAACTGTCGTAATTCCAAGACTTGTATTTATTTATAAATAGATTGATAAGAATGAAATTTGCTCGTGGCTAGATTTAGTTCCTTTCCTACGTTTAGGAAACTTCTCTCTCAGAATTAAATTAACTAAATCTGGAACTAGAAAGTAGAATGCCACCATCATTTTCTATTAAATTTGTGAATTTGGACAAGCTTATCCCTTAGGAGTGTTAATAGCAAAGTTATTTTTGTTTTTTGTTTTTAAAGAAAAAGGAAAAAAAGCCAAGTCTCTTACAGCTAATTTTCACACTAGGTATGAAATGTGTGTGTGTGTGTGTGTGTGTGTGAAATAATTCTGTGATTATTTTTCTTCTGCACTGTTTTAGTTTTGCCCATTTATCTTATTTAAACCACTAAAGAGCATTTTCATCCCTTATATAATGTAATTGTAGCTGTAAAATAACCCACATTAAAAAGATGCTTTTATTGTGCTCCACATTGCAGAATATGAAAGAGAATGAGTTGCTGAAGGTCACCAAGAGAATTCACGGCAGAGGTAAGATTTGGATCTGAAGCTCAAGCTGTAATTCTACACAAAGTCAAGGGCTCTCAAAAAGAAAAAAAAATATTAACAGCTACCTTAGATAAGTGTAAAGCTCTCCTAGCTCTAAATTGCAGAGACAGCCTGCATATCTTTAATGGAAAATTGTTCATCTGGAAGCTCAGGTTTTCTTTTTCTAAGTCAGCTATCTACAGTTGAGCTTTTTTTCAGCATTTCAGTGTGAAAACGTCTGTCTGTAGTTTTCTGACCCTGCAGAAAACTACAGACGTTATTCATCCATACTGAGGAGCAGCATCTTGTTCTTTCTTCCATTCTTTTTGGTGTGTGTTTTTTTTCTTACCAGATCCCGGAGTTGCTGAAGCAACTGTAAAACATCCAAGAGCTTTTCTTCCACCAGTGACAGCCTTACTCTCTCTGTCTCCAGCATCTGGAATTCCATCTTCATCAGCTCAGATTCCTCTGCCTTCTGTTGTATTTCCCCTAGCAATGGGCCTTTCGTCTAGACAACAGATAACATAAAAAGTATTGTGTAGCACAAAAATAAAAAGTCTGCCTTCTCTGCCTGAATCTGCGGTAGATGTCTCAGAAGTCTGTCTTCAAATTAATTTTACTAAATGGAATGTGTCAGTGAACAATACAGTCAGTAGGATGTGTGCACAAATATGGGTTTTTTTTTTCTATTTTATTGATACCTTGCTGACTACTTGATATAGTTAGGATCAGCTAGGGATTTTAAATGCTGCGATTCCAAATATATTTTCTACATGCACATATAATTTCCAAGGAAAGCAATATACCCAAAATTTCCTGCTACCATCAATTCTACTTCACAGCTTTATTGCCCCTATAAATCCGTAGTTCTCATTGAAGCCATAATAAAATATTTCTCCTTCAACCATGACTGTTTCAGAATAACCTTATTAAATGCAGACCAAGCTGCACTTCTGTGAAAACCTCTTGATTACTTTAAATGTATCATTTGATGTGTCCCAATCCAAGGCCTATTCTCTACCAGAACAAAGTGCAATACACAGAGTAACAGAGGTAGGTTATAGAAAAGAACATTCCAACTGGACGCTAGGAAAAAAAATCCTGCAACTAAAACAGCTTGAATATAAAATCAACCATTCGGAGAGGAAGTGGTCTTTCCTTTCATTTTGATCAAGGTGTGGCTGGCAAGCCATTTGTCAGGAATCCTTTGATTTGGATCAGTCAATATATAAATGATCCCTTTCAACTCTATAATACTATTAAGCAGAAGAGGAAATATTTGCTTCAGTTTGTTTGCATGCCCAAGTAATTATGACTGAAAGATATAGTGCATATGGTTGATGCAAGTTAACCTTAAGCATACAGACAAATATTTCTTTGTTTGAAAATTCTTACCCGGTGATTCCAATATTTTTTCTTTGTCACCAACATATAAAACACATTCAATATTATGGTTTAATGTCACAAGAGAGATGCAATTCTTAAGTTTCATTTGGCAAAATGATATATAAATTGATGGTCTTCAGAATGGAAAGTTGGAGTAATGTTGTGTGGTGGAATCACTGACTGAAGGAGAGGGGGGCCCCTCTGGAGAGAGTAAAAAGACATTCCAACATGAAGTTAGTTTGGAGGAGAAAACATCTGGAATCAAATTCTTAGGTCTATATCTGTTGTTTCCAAGGAAAGGCAGATAGTCTGGCAACATTCTTGTAACATAGGCGATCAGCAATAAAGTATCTATTTGGACACCTATTCATGGAGTCGTTCTGATTACATGTGTCTGACATACTGTCATATTAAACAGGTAAGCATTTCAATCAAAGGGTTTGCAATGCTTACCTTTCCTTTTCTGTATATTTCTATTGATTTAGAGAATATCAGAATTCAAACATAATTGGTAACAGATACAAAGCAGTTGCCTTGCCAATGCTATCCAATTAATAATAATAAGTATTAATGCCCTAGTTATAAGTTAGCATTTTTACTACACTTTGTAATCATAGGAAAGTGAACAACACAGAATAATGTAGTGGGATGATACTATATTAGAATACTGAAAATGAAATTAAAATTGAGATTCAACTCAATTATCTAATAAAACAATGTGCTATTTACTGATATCCCTTCACACAGTTAAGATTGTACTGGTTATTGTAAGAAAACTGTGACCTTCCAGGTATTCAGCTTCATCCCCCAGCCTTCATAATAGGTTTCCTTGGGTTATAAATGGTTGCTTGTAAATAGGTCATCTTCAGCAAACATCTCGGCAAATGTAATTGCAAATTTCCCCCTTTTGTGTTCAGCCCATCTTATTACTTTTTGATGGTTCTAAAGGAGGGTGCAAGAGGAAGAGGAAAGGTGCACTGCCTACTAGTGGCTTCTTAAATAACCTCTTTTAACAGACCATGAGAGATTCTATGCCTGGGGGAGGAGGATCCCAAATACATAGTTTTCTGACATATTTTTTTTAAATAGTGGTGTATGCTACTCTACTATTTGAAGAAAGAGAAGAAAAATAATTAGGGGAACCCAGTGATTAAAGCCCCAATACCTCCAATTTGGAACACAAAGCTTCAAGGCAATTAAGAGATGTCATTTAAGGAATAATAAGGATGTTATTCATGGCTAATCCTCTTTCTGTAATGGCAGAAGTGATGCAAAATTTCTAGGCACTGCACATTGCACAGAAGCTAATTATAATCTAATATTGAGCAATTGAGATAACTAATAAATTGACTAAATAATATATCAGATTTTTTCTGTAAGTGACTGTAGTCTGAATTATAACTAATGAATTCTGATTATTGTAATATTAAACAGATTCACTTATTAAGGAGAAATTTTAAACATATCTAAAATGGTAAAGATACTCTCACAAGGCTTGTAGTATATCATGTGAATGAGTCCCACTAAATTGACTACAACTAACATCAGTTGTATGATTATGAAGGCATACTGAATTTACTGTATACACTTATTTTAGTTCTCATCTCTTGACATTGTACAATTATTGCAACACTTGGGCTTCTTTTGTTCCAAAGCCATCTTTATGAATGACCTAAAAGATGGAATGGAAAGCATGCTGTAAAGATTTCTAAATGACACCAAGATGGGAGATTTGTCCTTCAAGGACAAAAATCACAAAATGACTTTGCCATGCCTGCACTGAATGGGGTGTTTGGATTAGATGACCTATACAAATCCTTTATAATTCATACACGGTATGATTGTATTACTGGGATTAATGTAAGAAAGAACATCCTATAGATTAAGATTCTATTGAGGCATTGGCCGAAAGTCTGCCATGCAGGAAGATTGCCCAGCTTAAACATTTATTTGCTGACTCCCTACTTACATTTTAACAATTCAGACTAAACCTCATTCTGCTTTGCTGTAACAAGCAATAAGAATCCTTACTGCATCCCTTAAATATTGTCATCTCTGCAATTGCTTGAAGCAAAACAGCGGTTTAATCCATTGTATTTTTTTTTACATTGCAGTTTTAAAACCAAACTCCCTAAGGCATACATTTTACATCTTCCAGCCCTTGTTCATCCTTTTTTGTAAATTTTATACAGTATTATTGCAAATTCCAACCATATCCGGATTCCTTTAAGAGAGAATTGAAAAGAAAGACCGCTGTTAATTTCTAAAGTCAGCTTTAAAATGCATAGGAAATATTACCAGAATCAATATTTTGTAACTGAACAGCAAGTGTTATCTGAATAAAGTATGCAATAGTTTAGGATCCATCCAGAATTTCTTTAAATAGCCACTGAATTTCTTCCAGAGCGAAGTATAATATATTTGAATTGGCTAAATGACAGCATCGGCTGAAAGTTAACTTAGTTCTCTTATTCTAAAATAAAGTCATCTTCTAACTTCCAGATAAATCTGCCATATGGTAAGATGACATAGTCTCCCTAACGATTAAATGTGTTTTTTAAATTCCTATATCCATAGTGTTTTTGTAACCAAAAAAAGCACACAAATAAGTGCTTGCTCTTGTCAGTCATAACATTACCACCATCTGATCAGCAGCCTGGTTTAGACATTATTTTTCTTTCCTGAGATAATGATGAACTGGGGTAGATTATTTTCACTACAATTCAACATCTTGTTCCTGTCTTCCCCACTAACAACATTCTTGTAATCTTCAGCACTGGCTTCTTTACAACGCATACTCCTGTATCCAAAGTAAGACTGAAAATTGTCAGTTGCTTGCAATATTATTCCAGAATATTCCATTTTTTCTGTCCATTTTTTCTTTATTAGATAAACAAATGTACCAAGAAGGTTTTCAGCATGTATCTCATGATTGTGAGCTCATTGTGTATCTGCATTTTGCCCCAATAATAAAACCAGTGAAAAAAATCTGCAAAAGGTTCCCATGAGTTTATTACATTGGGTTTGAATGCAACCTCAATTATATTCTTGATCAATAGAGTAAACGTGCTGCAATTAATGTATAGGCTGCTATTTTCCAACTTTAAAACTCTTTTGGAATATACAGTAACACTACAGGCTGGTTTTCAATGTGCTATGTATCATTAAGTCTAAACCAATCTCTTGTCTACATTAAGATTATCTAAATCCCTGTAAAAGCTGTTCCAATGTTCATATATTTATACACAGAAAATGACTGCTTACAGTTAATTCCTTACAGATAAGGCACATGACTTGGTCAATGAATAAGTATATTCCAGCAAAAGTCAGATATCTATTCCACAAGCAACATTTTATAATTCTAAGCTTAAATTTAGAGTTTACTAATGATTACTTCAATATATCATCTGTTATCTGACACCTTCATTAAAATGTCTTTGAAAAATAGTTCTCTAACTGTAGCTCTTTATTGAAATACACTTAAAAAGGAAACAAAGCAAATGGCTCTTTTCATCTTCTAGCTTTTGTAAAAACATAGGAGATGAAAAAGATTGGATCAATTATTGATTCTTTCAGGTGTCCATTATTCTTGATTTGCCTAGAGTTGAAAAGACTTCTAGTTTGCTTCTTTTTATATACTTTCTAACACTTGGAGTTTTATGTACAACGAAGCCTGGCATGCCACTTAGGTACAGAATTAACTTGAAATACTCATGTATAAGGAGTCTATTTAGATCTCAGAAGTTCAGAGATCTAGAGATGTCTAGAAAATATTTCTAGAAATGTAAAAAGGTCTACCGCTTGGCAAATCAAATAATTATTTCCAATTTCTTCAGGATATGAACTATGCCTCATAATAGCATAGAAGAGATAAAATAGTAAAAAAAGGAAGGGGAGGTCTAAAGTAGAAATTGGGAAGTTGCTAATTCCACTCATACACTGGTTTTCCATTTTTAGAAATGTTAACAGCATAAATTGGAAGATGTGGAATTTGCAATGGAAGAAAGGAACATAGCTACTCTTACAATGAAATATATATTTATTTCCATTTATGTACAAATATACTTTTGCAATAAATACACAGTATGAACCACAAGGCTATAAAGTGTGGTATAAGTCCAAGCTGGGTAACTATGCCCATCTAGATGCTGTCAGTTAGAAAATCCTATTATCCCTCACTATATTAACTGGAAATGATTAGTTGTTGTGATCTGATGACATAAAGATGTACCCTGCTCTCCATACGTTAACACAGGGGTGTCCAAACTTGGCAACTTTAAGACATGTGGATGTCAATTTCCAGAATTCCCAGGCCAGTATGGTTGGCTAGGGAATTCTGGGAGTTGAAGTCCATATGTCTTAAAGTTGCCAAGTTTGGACACCCTTGCTTTAAAAGAACACAATTTTTAGAGTCTTGTTGATCAAGAAATAGTAAATAGATGAACTGTATAAGAGTCCATGGAATTATGCACTACAAGTAGTTTTGAATTAAGGAATTGCATTTGAACTGAGCTTTTAGGGAATGAAAGCTGAAGACTATTACAGCCGAGTCTTCTTGTTCTGAAATATATAGGTGATATCAGTGAAAGTGTCTTTTGACCAAATTTAAGCAGGTCTGATAAGAAAAAAAAAACTCTGAAACATGTAGCCCTTGTAATAAGTAGCCCACAAGTCAGAAGTAATGTACCTCCTGAAAGGACAGAATATAAAATGAATTTACCTCTTCCACATTTATCTCCAGAGCTTTCTCTTCCTGACCTTTCATTTGAAAGTCTTCTTTTAATTTGGAGAGTTGTTGGGCTAATTCCACCAGAGAATTTTCATGGCCACAGCTACTGGGGTTTCCAAAGGATGACCTCAGTTGCTTCAGCGTTGTGTCATCACATCTAGAGAGAGAAAAATTCTGGTCTCTGCTTTTCTCCATCCTAGTAGTCTAATGATATGGAATATTAAGATATTAGAACCTCCTAATATGGGCGCCTATATAAATTAGTTTAATAAATAAATCACTTCCAAATTTTTTCCAAAGAAACTATAGGGACAGTCACTAATGATTTGAAGACACAAACATAAAAAAGGGACAATTACTAATAAATCTTACCTATGCCTGCTCTATACAGGTACGTTTTCTCTTAACAACAATAACTGGGACCAGAAAGTCTGTTGCGAAGTGACATAGTTATAAAGTGTGACATCATGTTGACTTACAACAGCAGTTCTGGTGGTCCCAGTTACCGTTGTTAGGTGTATCCTATGCATTTGCAGCATTTTGTGGTTCTAAGATTGCCAATTGTAACCTCCAGCCAGCTTTCCCATTGACTTTGTTGTCTGAAGTCAGCAGTGAAGGTCATAAATGGTGATTACATGACTGAACTGTTGTGATTGCAAGCTGGTTGCCAAGCACCCAAATCACAATCATGTGATCACAGGTAAGCTGGCCACAACTAGAAGGAATGGCAGTAATTCCCACATTCATCACTGTTGTAATTTTCAGCAGTTGCTGAACAAGTGGTGGCTGATCAAGGACTATCTACACAACCATATAACATATTCCAAAGCTGGTCTACCTGTAATATTTTTGCTATGTCACACAACAGCATTTTCAAAAAATAAATAAATAGCAAGGACAAAAGTTGCAACTATGACTTCACATAGACACTGAGACATACCCGCTATTGCAACAAGGAAATCTAGCTAGGAGTTTCTTTACTTCAGCCATTTGGGATTGCTGGTCACCTATCCATTTCTCTTCCTCTTCATCAGATGCAGCCTGGCCTTCCACAGAACGAAACATCTGATCTTCCACTGGAAAGAAAGAACAATAACCCCCCAAATAAGAAAATCACTATCACCATCATATTCAAGTAGCATTTTTAAATCCAGTTTAAGAAAAAAAACAATTTTGGGAATAATTAGTTCAACTATTACAGTAATTCATTGCCAAACAAAAAAGGACTTCCTTCGTCATCTGCTACCTTAAATACATATCTGCTGCTTTATATACCATATATATCAGGTATCCCAACCTCCTGGTCTGTGGCCCAGTGCTGGGCCATGGAAGCGATAGGAGGGGGGGCATGAAGCTGTATTTGTGAAAGATGTGCATGCACAAAATCATTCCCTCTTCACCTTCCTGCCGCAGCCACCTCCACTGATCCAGCAAGCCGGAAAGAACCATATATATTTGCACAGAAGCTGAGATTTCTAGATGCTATAACAAACACACACCCCTACCCAAATTAGGTCAGCTTACCTGTGGATCGAGTTATCTGTGAGTATATCTATTAACACTTTTTAAAAAGAATTCATATATCTTGTATATACAGTATTTGCATATAGGTCGAACGGTGAATAAGCCGACTCTTGAATTTGAACCAAAATATGATGAAAATGTGGATCAACAATGGCATGTTTTTCATGGTACTTAGACATATAGGAGATATATGTCACGTGTCAATTTCTATCACAAATTGAAATTAATTAATTGTGAATGTAACTTTTTTTTTCAGTAGGCACATTTCCATATGATAAATGGCAGCCTTACTTATTGAAGATCCTATCCAATGCCCTGTACCTTCTATCTCCTTCTTTTGGAAATATATTTGCCTTCTTTGATCATTAGTAACTCAACTTTTGAGCTAATCCTCCTCGTAATCAGGCAAATTAGGAATATATTACTCTATGTCTAATTATGTAATTTATAATCTACATTTCTGCCTGAGTTCTATGGCTATAGAATTTAGACTTGGGTAATATGAGCCCCAAATCTGTGCCGTTATCTTTGAAGACATGTTTCTGCAGCACATCTATGTTTGGTTCTCTATAAAGAGGCAAGCTTCCTTTCTTAAGGAGCATAACCTTTATCGATAGAAGGAGAACAACTGTTAAGAGTTATATATAGTATCTTTCTTACGTTGGGGATTGCTAATCCCCAACAATGTAACCTACCATTGCACACAGCGGGTTATCTTGTGCTTTCCTCTTAAGCAAATTTGTGTGTACTCGTATATAAAAAGAAAAAGGGGGAAAGTAGCATATTAAAGTGAAAATCAATTGTACCTGGAACTTTTATTAAATTGTGTTCCTGAATTTGCACAGTTGCATGAGCAACATCTTGACCAGAAATAATCCCATCGTTACAGAAAAGCCTGGGGATTAGCAAAGGCTAAATGGAAAAAGTGGGCTGGAGGAAGGAATGAAGACAGCCTTTATGGGTTTTGACATAAGGTGGAGCAAAGCAGAAAAGTTAGAGGCAGTTGGATTTGTGGTTAAGGCATCAGGTTAGACCAGGAGTTCCCAATCTTGGTAATTTTAGGACATGTGAACTTCTAGAACAGTGGTGGCGAACCTATGGCAGGTAGAGCCCTATGGGCATGCGCGCTGTCGCCCCAGCTCATCTCCACCACGCTTCTCTCCGCCATTTGCAGGGAAACAGAAGTTTCCCTGCAAACGACAAAACAGAAGCTCACAAAAGAAAAAGATCTCACCTCTTGCAGAGCTGCCAATGTTGGGATGCCTCATCTCCTGTCAGCCAGCTGGTCTTTGGGTATCTGCAGCACCTGCGCACCTGCACGCCTTTCAGTTTGGGCATACACATGCACTTTGGGTACTCGGTGCCTAAAAGGTTCACCATCACTTTTCTAGAAATTCTGGGAGTTGAAGTCCATGTGTCTTAAAATTGCCAAGATTGGGAATCTCTGGACTATGGTGGGAACCAGGAGACTGTGAGTTCTAGTTCTGTCTTAGGCACAAAGCCAGTTCAATGACCTTAAGCTGGTCACTTTCTCTCAGCCCTAGGAAGAAGCCAATGCTGAACCACTGATGAAATCTTACCAAAGAAAACTGTAGAGATTCAAAGGTGTACACACACACACACACACACACAGACACACACACACACACACAGGTTGAGCTATTTCAGGGGAGTGAAGATGGTAGAGGTGGCAAACCAAAGGCAAAGATAGGAAAGGTATAAGGATGCAAAGAAGATGAGGGCAAGATCTTGGAAGGAAAAGTTGTTTTTCTACCAGCTATTTATGGCATGTAGACAGAGGCAAGATGATTTATTTTGGCACTAATATCATGTACCTGAAACACCCAGCCAGAGAAAATGAAGTGCTTTAGGCTAAGGAAGTCTTTTCAATCAGATTTCCAGAGTACATTTGCAAGGGAGAGAGCAATATTGGTTGAATAATTTAGACAATTGTCTGCCTTTATTGACACAAATTTCTTCACAAACTGCATTTGTAAAGACTGCTGCTAGCTATTATTCACACATTTGTTGCAAGAAGCTATTTTGCAAGTGGAGGTGTCAGTTTTTTCTGTTAATCACTGTTACGTGGTGCTAAGAGTATAAGACACAGTCTTTTTAAAATACTGCTCAAGCTGGTTGATTATTTTCTTCCAATGTCTTTGTAAAATCAAGGATCTCTCTTTAACCGGAAGATTGTATTTTGTTTTTTAAAAAAGTTGGTTCTTCCTTCTGAGATAACATAAGGGATTGTCTCTTGAATCAGAAGACATATTATTTTGTGTCAGCTCCCTTTTAGGTATTTGAGAAGAGAGTGAACAATGCTACCAAGGAATAAAATTTGCAAGCGGGAGTTTTAATATTGCTCTACAAATATTGTTGCTTCTAATGCTGCAACAATGGCTGAATGCTTTCCATTTGGTCCAGCAGAGGGCACTGTGGTAAAACTCAAAATAAAGAAAATGCCTATCAGATGACAAGCTTAGCAAGGAATGTCTTGTGAACAAAGTTGTCCTCTTCTACAATAACAAAACTGGTGTGTGTGTGTGTGAGAGAGAGAGAGAGAGAGAGAGAGGTTATGTGTGTGGAATGTTAGCTCTAATTAAGTGAAGGAGACAATCCACTGTTAGTAAAATGCTTATTTCCCAACATTAGTTCAAACGCATGGGTGCCTCATATATCCATGTTCTTTGTATAAGCTTTCAACTTCAAGGCTTTCCTTTGAACATAATCATTTGTCCCAAATGATTAATTAATACGCAGATGCTCTATCTACCCAGCTGTAAGAATCGCAGTCACTGTGGGGTTTGTGCAGTATATTAAGCAGCAAACAATAGGGGATGGAGCGGAGGGGGGGTTAGTATTGTCTCTTTTAAATGTTGCTTTTGCATAAGCTTTGGATTTAGTTTAAACCACATCAAACCTTAAGCTTAAATGTGGTGGTTGTTTGATGCAACAGCAGAGATAGCACTTCTGGCTTCTTTCAGTTACACTGATAGGTGCTGGTGCTTGGCGTACACAGATGAACTCATGTCTGAAACTAAAGACAAGCCTTTAAAGAAGTGAATGGTCTATTCTAAGATCAAAGCTCCTTATAAAGTTGTAGAGAGTGCCTACAGGTAGGCATAAGGAAGTAAGGATATTTACTGTGGGTTTTTTTTCATCTTTGTTCGTGATCTTATAAAGGAAACGGCTGTCATATGCTCGTCTTGGATGTTTGTTAGAAGCATGTATTCTTAATCCTCTAATATTTTAATCTCTGACGTCTAAAGCTAAAATGCGGTCTTTTGCAATTCTGTTTTTTTTAAATGTTAGTGTATACACACACACACACACACACACACACACACACACACACGCAAACCCATGGGGAAAAATGTGTATCTTTTACATTAAATGAAAGCTGGGCCCAAATACACAGATGCACTTAGTCATTACTCTATTGTTTTGCAATTAACTTCATAATTATGTCAGTTCATTTAACCACCAAAGTTATAAAGCACTGACAATAAAGCATATACAAAACTATTTTATGAATCATATTATCCTTGCAAACAAACTTTTATAAATATGGATATTCTTGTTTTCTCGCTATCTCTGATAGGAATTCTCAACAGCTGTTAGTGAATTATAAAATCCCTAAAGTAATGGTTAAAAAAAAACCTTATAAATGCCACATTAAGCAGGTGATCCAAGTGGAATACTTGGCAGTTTTATTAAAACTCATGATAGCAGGAGATATTTGTGCTCAATATTCTTTTGCATGTGGTTACTATCACAAGATTCTTCCCTTATGTTCCAGTTGCTCTAAAATTATTTTGGGAAAAGGTTCTACCTCAGTCACTTTATAGAATACATATCTCAGATTGAATTGGGGTAGGATATGAAAGTGCTTTTGCAAAAGGCAAGTGGGCTTTGTTTTTTCTTTTTTTTGAAAGTTTTCTTTGGGTTTTCACAAAAACAAAATACAAATAAAACATGTTTTTTGAAATAGCATGGTCCCAGGTTATCACTTCTTCATACAGACACCAAACTCAATTTCATGCTCATTTTTATATTCTATTCCATATCTTATTAGTGTTTTATATTTTCGACATAGTTTTTTCCCTCTTTTAATTTTCTCAACTTTATTTTAATTATCTCACCTCAATCAAATCATTATATTTATACTTTTGTCTGTCCTGTTTCAATTTCATATTATCTTTTCTTATTAAACAAATTTTTCCCTGTAGTTACCAATTGGAGTATGACACCTTTATATCTTTTAATTATATCCATTCAAACTCTTATTTAAGCTTCAATGTATGCCTTTAAGATTATAGCATTCAATATAATATAAAACTTCCAATCGAATTCTGCTTGGTACATTCTTACTATATTCTTAAAAAGAAAAAATTATATATATATATGTAAATAAAGCACACATTCCATTCCAATTCAATTCTATCATTAATATTCATTAAAATCTTAACATCTTTAACATTTCTTTTCAATTAAATAACATACTTCCTTGGGAACACTTATAAACTTTCCATAGTTAATTCTTTTTTCCCCATATTTCTCACTTATATTTTTGTAAATCATTACTAATAATTAAAAATGTTCCCATTTAATTCTCTCAATCATTTTAATTCATTTATTTATTAGCAAACATTCAACTACATTACAGTAAATATTTTATCCATCATTTTAATCATATTTTCTAAAATTATTTCTGTTTATAATATAACAATGCTATCTTATGTACCTTTGCAGAATCCCTTTTGCAATTAAATTTTCACCCATTATCTCTAAACAAGCTTATGGTTACAATCCTTATATCTTTTCCCTGTTTCTCCATTTCTTGTTTCTCTCTTTTACAACTTCTTTTCCTTGCCTTCTTCCCCCTCTTCTTCTCCCTCCCCTTTTTACCCCCTCATCTAACTCTCTCATCTGTAATCCCCTCTTCTATTGCTTTCTAATATTATACTTATCTTTCACATTCTTCTTCTATTTTTTGGTTGTTTTTTCTAGTCTTAAACCTTTCATTCTCTTTCCCCACTTTTCTCCCCCCACACTTAAAATTATTTGATCATTAAAGATGGCTTCTTCTTTGTCCCAATCTTCTTGTTCTGCAAGAGTTTCTTGTTCTTTCTCATAGTTCCAGATCTCCATTTCTAAGAATTGAAATACGAAGCCAAAACAACCTCTCCCTTCTTATGCATCTTCTTTCCATTTTTAAGTTCCATTTTCAGTTCTTGTAAGAGTGATACCATTTTAAAGACTTTTAAACAACCACCCAGTTAATTTTAGTCATCCAGATGCAAAAACCAAAAATCACCAAGTAATCCAAATAATCCAAGGCTGTTTCTTTCTGTTTCTTTTTTCCACTTTCTCTTCCTGGGATTCTATTATTTTGTTACCAAGTTTCAATTAAGATGTATCTTTGAGGAATCTTGTTGAAATTTCACTGTAAGTTCCTTTTAGTTACAGTTCCATTCCTTAGTTCCAAGCAGTCTCCTCCACTTTTCCAGATCCTGCCCTTTTATTCTTTTTTTACTCCTTTCCTGCTTTTAAAAACTTTTAAATATCCAGAAATCTTTATTATCCCTTTGACTTTTATTTTCAGCTTAGATGCCTATTATTGTCAAAGTGGATTTTTTTCAATTTCTTGCTTAAGCCTGTTAGCTGTAAGTATAAGGAAGGGAAGAAAAGAAACCTAATCCTTTCCCTTCCCTCTCTCCTTCGCAGCTTCAAAATCTTCTTTGGGAACAATGTTATTAAATTTAAATTCCAGGGTACCTTATTTGTTGCTTTTGCTGTTTGACCTGGTCAACCAAAACTTTCTCTTCTTATCTTCCTCCTGCACATTCTTTTCCGGTCAAGTTCTTCTTTGTTTTGGTCATTTCTGACCACCGTTACAACCGCCTTTGGGAAGGGGAGTAATGGCCAGCTAGGGAGGAGAGATGTGGCTCTCCTCAACCCTGAAGGCAGTCTCCCCCTTCTTCACCATCTCTCGGGGTGGCTTAGCCCTGAAACCAGCCAGCTCGAGGCACTCCAGTGGCGAGCACGGATCTAAGCCTCGCAGAGACGAGGTTTCGGTCTGTCGCCGAAGAAGCTCAAACCGGAAGTCTGGCCTTTGTTTTTTCTTGAAGATGTTTCATTTCTCATCCAAGAAGCTTCTTCCATTTTGACTAGTTTTCAAGAGAAGCAAAACATATTTAAGAAAAGCAAAGTCCAGTTGCCTTGTGAAAAAGCATCTTAGTGGCAAACATGAGCTGGATGACTGAGAATCTTCATAGATGGTAGGATATAAAATTACCTGAGGGTTCTATGCCTTGGAGAAGGATAAGAAATGGTCCAGGATCTCATGGCCATGGTGCAGCCATACTTATTCCAAGTCGTGCTTGCTCCAACTGAGAGAAGTTGGTTTGCGGTTTGAAGGGGAACACATTTCCATCCATAATTTGCCATTGTGAAATTACTTTCAGTGTCTCAACTGTGCAGGGTGGTAGGAGCAGTTAGGATGGTCTGTCCCAGTTGGGTGAGTTTGGGCTTAGTCCAGCAATGCTGGATAATTTCTGCTCCATCTTCAACATTCTTTTTTAGAGATTTTTTTTTTGAATAGATAACTGGGCCTAGAAAGAAACTGGTCATCTAGATCTCTGCCAGTCATACATTTCAGACCAAGCATATGACAGAAGTTACACTGATCATTCATGTATATGATCTATACCTAGACCTTGAGTAGGGGAGTACTTCTCATCTGGTTCAGGTATACTTATAAGTAATATTTGACAATGTTGTGAGGACTGGAAGCTAAAGGCTCTATTTTCCAGTGGTTCCAATTCTTCCCAAGTAGATGGTTACATGGTATGATAATGGGGGAAGAGGGCTTGAGTGTTTCGCCACAATTTTCTGAACAGTTGTCTCAGTTATTATGGGAGAGCTTTTTCTTCATGCTGAATCTTTCTGAACTATGCATTTGAGCTAGGAAGCATGCTGTAGGCTTCCCATCCATGTGAAACTCAGTGGGAAGAGAACCAAGAAGCTAGACAACTATAGCTTGCCCTTCAATGTAAGGAAGCCCCCTATCCCTATTAATCTTCTGAAAAGAAACTATGCTCTTTCACTAGGCTTTAGGCTACAATGTACAATGGGGATTGCTATCTATCACTACATGGTTTTATTGGTTAATATTTATTACATTTTCAAAATCTTTATGACTATGTTGCTTATTTTTCCATTTTACTTTTCTTTTTTAGCCTACCCAAAGTCTTACAATGAAGCACCATAGAAATTATGTAAAATAAAACATAAATAAAGAAATAATAGATGAAGGACAAATCAAATTAAAATAAGTTTGAAAAAACTCCAGCTTTATGACTACATATCTGAGTATAGTAGAACCTCTGGTCATGAACACTACTGACCATAACCAAATCAGATTCCGACCAAAAAATTCACATTTTTTTTCCCCAAGGCCGATTTCCCTTTCTGCACCATTTTTTTTGTTAAGTGCCAAATTTCTAAAATTTTCGGTTCAGGTCACGACCAAATTGGGTTGCAACCAAAATTATGGAATTAATTATGGTTGTGACCAGAGGTTCTACTGTACATATCTTGAAGGATAAACTGGATTTCCTTCTAACAAACATTCCAAACATTTCTAAGCAGGAGACTTCGCTAACAGCTTTATTCTAGTAGTGTGAAAAATATCTTGTTCTGGGTTTGGGATATTTATTCCATTTTTCTTCCAGAATTTGCTAGTTCCAGGGGATGAGCTAGTAGTTTTCCAGAAGTAAATCTTCTGGAACAGGAAATGGTCTGCGGTGTTTACTGTAAGATCAAATGTACAGAAATGTTTAACCAATTATCCTCACTCTCTTAAATCTGACCATTTTTAAAGCAGGAACAAACAGGAACACAATGGAAGACACTCTGCCCCCTTTAAGAGACCCAAGTAAAACTTTTCCATTTAAATTCAGTTGATGGCCTGTGTTCAACTATTCTTTATATATTATAAAGGTGGATCAGCCATTGTATAAATATATCCTACAATGGCTGATCCACCTTTACAGAAGATTCTATGAAGGCAAAACCAAGCAAAACTGCTGTGCCTTTTTGATTTGTGATATAAAAAAAAGAATTCATCCAAAAGCTATTTTTATCTTTCTAGTTCTGCTACAAAGGGAAGATTAAATGAATCTGAATATATGAATTAAAATTAGCCTTGCAGTTTGTGCCATCCTATTAGAAAGTCTTGCCACATTGTTGTGTTTATAGTATTGATATGTTCAATACTACAAAATAATTTCAAAGAAAGAAACACAATGAAGTTTTCTATAATAGCATGAGACCATTAAAAACATAGCCAACATATTCTGAGGAGACTCTTGAGGGATTGGTGGACATTTACGTGTACCACCAATTATCCTCCTGAGATTTTCTTTGAATCCTCACCCTTGATGTTTAGAGGTTTCTTTTCCATTAAAATGATCTATAATAAGAGCTGAAGATTTTTATCCCCTTCCTACCATTTTCCAATACTCCTGCACCACCAGTTGGTGAACGTCTATCTTGCTGGGTAAGTGATAAGCTATCTTGTCCTTCCAGAGGTACGTTTGTCTTCTGTTCTGAGTTGCTTTGTGAAGGAACTGGGCACTTTAAGACCTCTGATCTGGAAAAAAAAAAGAGATAAGCGGACAAAATAAACCAAATAGCAAAAATCCAAATCAGATTTAAGTATGGCCTATTTTTTTCTTACCATCAAGGGACTTCACTTTCATTAATAATAATATTTTTTAAAGGCTTGGACTAGAAGTCTGTTGCAGCCCTTTGATTTTATAGTTTTCATAGATCTCAAAAAACAAACTATTTCTATCCTTCTAAAATGCCCTATCAAATAAGGTTCTGTTCAATGGGTAAGTTAACGGGTAAGTTCCTCACCCTTAAATGATTTACTTATCAACAACATTTTCAGTTATTTATGTTTAAATAATTTGTAAAACATAAGAAAGATGTAAATCACATAGATAAATAAAAGCAAATGTACAGTACATAGTTTTCTATAAACTGTATATATTCTTCTGAGGTCTAATTTTGGCTCTCAAAACCGTCATTAACCCTGTCAAACCAGCCAATGTAAATCAGCTCTAGATTACCCCCAGATAAGAAGATGTCCCTGGGCAATGTATTTCAGAGAGAGGAGATGCTTTCCTGTCTTCAAACTCTGGAGAGTGGTTTTGTTTTACTGAAGTGCTTTAACTTTCTACTTTAAATGTACAAGCGCTGCCACTCTCACAGAAGCCTCTACTTTGGCCCTTCTTCATTAGCATTCATAAAACCGATGGCAAACAGTGAAGAAGCCTGGATGAGCAGCATGTCTGTGTGTAGCAAAGACAAGGACAGCAAAGGAGGGAAAGGGTCACTCCTAGGAGCCTGGGAAGGGCATATGTCTTACAATGCTTGGTCACAAGGTTTCCATGGAGAAATTATTTATTTATTTATCTTCTTTTTTTTTTTTAAATGCTGCCCATCTCCCTCACAGAAGGACTCTATGAGAATGTCAGACAACAGACTTTATTCATTTCAAAGCTTTTCTCAGGAAGATAATAGGATGCTTGTGAGAAAAATCTAGAAGCAGAGGTGACCCAACCACAATGTAATGTCTGTGACTAATTGCTTTTTAATTAAGGCTCTTTTCAACTGCACCAAAACATTTTTAACTACCATTAATTTGAAGCAACAGCTTCTATCCCTTAAAGTTAAAAGAGTTAGCAGAGTTAACAGAACTGGATTAAAAAAAAAAACCTATACTTCTGCATAAGTGCATGTGTTTACAGGACTCAGACTATCTGGGGTGATTAGCAAAGATATCTGCCAAGGGATGGTTATTTCAGATGTCTGCATCATGTGTTGTTTGTAGTCCTTCCAAAATCTCCAACTGGAGAAAGCATGGAGAAGAAAGAACAAATAGGGCAGTCACCCTATTTTCGAAAAACCTGAAGGAAGGACTAGAAGCAATGGATAGAAACTAATCAAGGAGAGGTCCAACCTAGAACTACAGAGAAACTTCCTGGCAGGGAGAACAATTAATAAGTGGAATGGGTTGCCTTCAGAAGTTGTAGGTGTCCATCACTGGAGGTTTTAAAGAGGAGATTGGATAGCCATTTGTCCAGAATGGTACAGGGTCTCCTGCTTGTACAGGGGGTTGGACTAGAAGACCTCCAAAGGTCCCTTCCAACTCTGTGATTCTGAAGCTAAAGGCTCTTTGGTTTGATTATCCAAAGAACAGACAGACCATATATTAAGTGGCAAGTAATTGAATTGAATTTAAATAATACCATAGCTAGAATGGCAGCTTCTCCTAAACACAAAACATAAGCAGATCTGTCACTATCTTTTTAATGCAAATCTCCTTTAGTAAAAGTTTATCTACTCTTTCATCTCTGCTTATTCAAGCCACTTTCAAAATGCTAATACTTTTGCTTTTGTAATAAAACTGGAGTGGCTTCTGTGTGTGGCCTATCAAGTCTCCTCCCACAATACACATCTTCCCTAAAAACCCACCCTTTTAATTGTTGAAAATAATACACACTAGTGTAAGTATTGCTCAGTAAGTGGGTTTATCCCCTACACCGCATATGGTTGCACTTTGGTGATTCTTTATATCTTTTCTCCTTTCTGACTCTAGAAACACACACAGAAATAGGGAACACATGTATACGTTCTGTCTTTTTTTTTTTACACAGTAATAAATAATATCCTAAACTTTCAACCTGGCTTTTCAATCTTTACAGTATCTGAAATAGACAAATTTCAGCAGTTGCAGCAGGAAATTAAATACAGCTTGCTGAACTTAGTATATTTAAATTGACTAGACCAACAGGGGTATATACTGACTTCTATAGCCACAATTCTTCTGACTTTTTTCCCTGCTCTTTAGAAAAATTCTTTTCCTATAAAAATAACACCACTGCTTTCAGTTTTCCTTGATAACGAAACGATCCATTGTATGTGAGAGAACCAGTTTGGTAGCACCAGGCTAGAAATGGGGAGACTGTGAGTTCTACTTCCACCTTTGGCATGAAGCCAACTGGCTGACCTTGGACCTGTCCCTTTCTCTCAGTCCTAGGAAACAGGCAATGGCAAAGCACTCATTGCTCATGTTTATGTAATATTTCAGATGTCAACACAAAAAGTCCAGCCTTTTCTAGAAGTTTGTCTTTTCCTTTCTATTCTTGCCAATTTGTTTCTTTCCAGGGTTGCTGGAATCGATGATTTGAAAAGGGTTAATTATTTGTTATATGTTAAATAGCAAACCTCAAGTACAATAATTAGAAAATGAATGGAAGGGACTCTTTATGACATGGAAATGCATTGTAACCTTGGTTACAATGGGTGCTTGCTTTTTATAGTGTCAATGTCAATGGACATCTGTTCTGACATGATACGAAATTAATGGGAATGAATCTACTTTGGGATTTCAATAATTTAGTTAGAACCTTATTTGATTGTATATCAAATGTGCAAATTTTCAGGGTCATACTTATTGTAATGCAAAAAGTTTGAGAATCTAATTTAAATGCTGACATTTTAGGACAAGAAAGTCTATAGTCCCAGGGAATGTGTTTATAAAGCTTTCTTTACATGTTCTGAAATTTGGGTACTCAGAGTATAGTCTCCATTAATTTATTTCTCTGTTTAATATTTTTGTAAGTTACTCTGCTTTGTAAATAGAAAAACTGGGATAAAAATTAATTTAAATAATTCAAAGCCTGGCATTTCCAGAATGGGATAGCACGGTATAGCTAGTTTGGCACAGCCAGCTCGTCACCACCGAACTGCCTCTGCAAACTCACCACTGTCAAGTCAGAACAACTGAACATGGCCAATTTGCCATGGAGACAACTTGCTGTGGGCAGCTGGAGAGCCGGGCAGGCAGGGGAGTGAGTGGGTGGGCACAGTGCAAAGTGGTGATGGTGGTCAGGGACTTACAACTGGAGGGAGAGCTGGGCGAGAGGGATGTGTGAAAATGGGATGTGCCTGGTCTCCACTGCCTCCCCACTGCCCGCCCGCCCACTCCCACTGCCCCAAATGGCCGAAACTACAAATGACCCAGAGCTCAGTGCAGCAGCAGCAGCAATGGTAGTGTGTGTGAAAATGGGAAACCTCTGGCCACTGCTGCCACTCTATACTGTGCTTGCTCGGCTGTCCCTCCAGTTGTGGCAAGTTGTCCCCGCAGCAAATTGGCCGTGTTCAGTTGTCCTGCAATGACTTGGCAGCGGTGAGTTGGCAGAGATAACTTGGCGGTGATGAGTTGGCTGTGCCGAGTTCTCCTAGACCCTGGCCCTTTATAGAACTTTGGAACTGAAATAGCAAAAAAGAACAACTTTTGAAGACTGCAGAAATTTTAGAATTGTGAAGGAAAGTTGTAGTAGAATTTCTCTGTCCATATCCTGTTTGCATGTTTATTCTACTTCCAATCTCTCCCTTAACCAGTTACAGGCCCAATGGAGCTTGAACACTTTATTTACACATTTTCTCACTGGTGGGAACTATTTTGGGAAACCTCTTTCTCCATTTTGCTAAGAGTTCTTCAGACTGTTAGAGAATGAAGAGAGGACGAGGCAATAACAGATTAACAGATCAGGTGTCCAATTTTTGGTACTGCTTTGATTGGATGTTTCTTAGTCTTAGAGCAAGGTTGCATATTTTACCAAAAAAGTTGCTTTCAAGCATCATTATATACAATACAAGGCTAAAATATTCCATTATTTCTAAGCTTTCCTGTTCAGAAAAGATCAAATTCTTTTAAAAAAAGAAGGCAATTGCTCATTTTTATACTAAATGAGAAATTGAGATACAAGTGTGAGAGAATATGAAGTAAATGTAACCAGATTGTTATACTGCATAATCATTCACCTTAGCCAGAGTAAATGGTGGTAGCAATTATTCAAGACTGGAAGCATAAGGACTTTTGATGTTAATGCATCAAACAATTAGTATTCATGGGACAAAGTGGCATGAACACAATCAAGGCAACCCAGGGACAGAGAGAGAGATAGCCTCCCCCTTTTCTTTGCAGTACTGAAAAAAAATCATACCGCAAAGTCGTTTGTGCCAGGAATGACATGCACATCAGCCTAATGCAGGGGCCAGCATTCTTTGCTAGAGGAATTGCATACATTTATTGTAAATTGATTTTTGATAATGAAGACCTGTAGGGGGGGGAGTCCAAGCACCTATTAGTAGTCATGACCGCAATATTGACTTTTTGACATCCCTCCCCATGAACGCGCCTGAGAATGAGCCTCTCTAGTTTCCTTTTCTTTGAGGTTTTCTGTTTTGAATAGGCTATCCTGGGTCCACCCATCCTTTCCAAACATTTTTTTAAAATTCCTTTTATTTCTTGCTAAAAATTGGGCCAAAAGTGTTCACAATCTCTACTCTTCAGTTGGGGAGGCTCTATTCTAGGAAACTTGGGACTGCAAAAAAAAAAAAAGTGGGGGGGGGCCCTCTGGAAGTGACATGTGGCCTCCATTTCAACCATGAGTTGTCCATCATGTTTTCAAGAAGGAGGTAATTGCCAATGAAAAGATGGAAAGAATTACTGTCCTTTCCACCTCTCTCGCACACAATTCCAAACTCCACAATATAAAGGGAAAAAAATGTACT